TTTCTCACTTTGAAAATTTCTTGTACTTCTTAGCTGTACCCTTCATTTAGCTTGTTTCAGGGACACCGGTTTTAAAGTGAGCTGCATGTCCCGAGATTCGAATGGGTGCAGGCTGAGGAAGTGTTTCATGGCTGGCGGGGTGTGGAGTAGGGTTTCTCACATGGTCCTGGGAGGGCTACAGCATTGCCCTCGGGCCCCTTACGCGTGTGGGTTCCTAAGCCCCACCGTAGACCTGCTGAATCAGAATCTTGAGAAGCTGAGACCTTGTCATCTTTTACAAAGAAAATCTTGGTGTGTTTCTAGTGCACACTAACAAGCTGGAAACTAGGTGGCTTAGAGGGTCTAGTTTATGAAAATTGGGTCTGAGTCAAGTGCATTCAGAGGCTTTGCTCTTAGAGGTGTTCTTCTTGTTAGTGGCTACTCATAATGACCTAGTTAAAGGATGTAAATTAAATTAGATTGCAACAGCTAAAAATTATTTTTAAAGATTAGCATGTACTTGGCTTTGACAGTGATTAGTGCTTGTTAACTTGACAGTTGGTGGTGGCTGTACCTAATGACATGAATGGACAGATCCTTTGCTCCCAGCTAGTTCCGATGTGCTAACCAATGAAAATATAAAATTTGCTAAAAGTCTCAAGCTACAGCTTGGAACCTTTTTTAAACTGTATGTGGACCTTGGGTTTGTATGTTGTTTTGTATTACACAGTTGATCTGGTGTCTTTGTTACTTCCTTGTAAACTAAGTTGGTTGGGGGAAGGACCATTCCTTCATACCCCTTGATATTTACAGCATTTCACAGAGTGCTTTGAAAGCTCTAGATCTATTTTTTGGCAGCATGTAAGGTCTTCAATAAAGGTTTTGATGCCTTGCTTAAATGTGAATACAGCAACCTACGTTCTGTGTTTCTACCTTTTTTTTTTTCTTCAAAAGAACATAGGATCCAAAAAAAAAACACAAAACTATAAAGACTTTTTCTTTTCAATTCCAGAGTGATCCTCTTGACCATTCATCTTAGGAACTGTCATTAGCAGAAAACATTGTTGCCTATCTATATGAGCCGTTCCTTACTTTTTAGGGAGAAAATAGAATTAAATTGAACAATGTAGGAAGAAAAATGAGCTTTTTGTCTTGGGAAGGGAGCTCTGATGCGCTTTAATACCACACCTTAACCAATTACTAATGGTTCTGTGTCTAGAACTATTTTGGTATTATCACCAGTTTGATTTTATCCATGCTGCAAAGCATTAACAATACCTATACAATCATTGACCAGATGCTGTGACTAAAGGTCACAAAGTCACAAAATCACATTAGGTATGAATGTTTTAATATGTCTGAGACGGTATGGTTTCAATTTGTGTGTGTGTGTATGTGTGTGTGTGTGTGTGTGTGTGTGTGTGTAGGTAGGTACAAATGGAATCCTAAAAGTTGTTATTGGGTTATTTTTAAAGTGTTCCTATTTGCCTCCATTTAATAGTCCATTTTATGTTTCCACTTCCTTCTTGGTATGGATATCTTCAAATGCTACTCTTGAGCCGGATTGATGGGTATAGTTCTTGTTTTTCCCAACCAGAAGAATGAGTAAAGAGCATTGCTGGTAGCTATAAAGCAAATACTGCATTTTTTAAGGGTCGCGGCCAACCAGACATATAAATAGTACCTCAAGTAGCAGTATAAAAATAATAACATTTATAATAAAGTTCTTTATTGTTTTTGAGTATGGATGTCACCTTGTCGTTTTTTATCTACTATACGAAGGCTGAAACCCCACAGAATTATCTGAGGGTGTTATGTCCATCATTTCCTCTCTCCCTACCCTTTCCACTTTTGAGAAGTGTGTCATCTAAACAGGTAGGGCCTTGACATGACATCCACTTCACAGTAAACTTGAATTAATAATAACTTTCACGCATCCTACAAAAGGGTGCCACTTGCGAATAACTTCACATTGTTAAAATAAGACTTTAGTGTTAATTTCTACTTTCAGTTCTGTTTGAAGTAGACTGGGATTGGGCATTTCAGTTTTTAGGGGAAGTTACTCATGCTTAGATCTATTAAAAAATTTAAATACTAACAAGTCTTTAGTAGTCTCTTTCAGTTTGTATGCATGCAAACAAATATGTAATTTCTATTTTCTGAAAGCTCAATCTTGAAGTGAAACTTATTCTGGCTTCACTGTTTGGATATAGAAACCAAAATTTTTTGATCCGTTTTCTAGCTGTTTACTGTTAGTCACTCTGCAGCCCTGTCATGGGTTCTTGACATGGTCCTTGACACAGGTCCTGCCCTACTGGCTTCTTTGGATCCTGGTGTGGATAGTGGTGAGAATCGATAGGCAAGTGTTTTCCAGAGGAGAAGGAATAATGAACTTGACCTTACCTTCTTGCCTTTCTCTCTGACTGTTAAACTTCCTGCACTTGGATCCCTTTGAGTTTCTTCCTTTTCCTTGTAAGTTACCTCTGAATTGTAATTCTGTGGTAATTCATCACACGTTTTTTTCTTGTGAAAGGTTATGTATAATATAGATAGTAACTGAACTTATATATGTGCCTCCATAGTTTTTAAAGAATTTCACAGACTGAGTCCTTTTAGAAGCTAGATCCTGGCGTGCCTGGGTGGCTCAGTCAATTGTGTCCAACTCTTGATTTTGGCTCAGGTCATGATCCCAGGATCGTGGGATCGAGCCCTGTATTGGGCTGCGTGCTGAGGATGGAGGAGCTCACTTAAGATTCTCTTTCTTGTTCTCTGCCCCTCTACCCTGCTTTCTCTCTCTTTCTCTCTCTCTCAAAAAACAAAAACAAAACAAACAAAAAAAACAACCAAAAACCAAAAAACTAGATCCTCAGTGAGAGAGTTCAAGGATATAAAAAAGTTAAGACAAAAAAAAAAAATGGATCTTATGTGTATTGTTCCTACACAAGGATGACTGTTCTATTCTGAAAATTATGAGTTCAACTCTAAAAGGCTGTGCAGCTTTAGGCCTTTGATGTTATGCAAAAAATAGTGTTTTTGGCTATTTACATCTCCTGTATTTTGCATCCTGTAACCTACATCCTCTGCTTTTCCTGTATGGTGCTGTACTTTCCATAGCTTTTATGCAGTCTTTAGACCATGAATCTTACATGGGATCTGCTCATATTTCTCTTAAAATTGTCTATTTTCATTCTCTTGGCATGGCTTTATAGCATATTCCTCAGGCAAGTCAAACTGGTATTTGGGAATATTTCATTGGTGTAGGAAGGTGTTTTCTCTTGACTGTGGTGTACTTTTCTGAATAGGATTTCAGCTGGAACCTTTCTCTTTGGCCTTATTTTTTAAGCGTTAGGCTACCCAGGATGCTATTGTGTTGGTAGTTGACTGCATTCCTCTTGTCTTGTGAGAGGAACTCAAAATGACCCCTTTCAGGTGAGATGTGCCTTGTGATTGGGGTGGTATCTCTGAAGAATAGAGATGTGGTTAACCACATTCAGTGGGCGGGAAATCTCTGTTGACAGGAAATTGGCAGGAAAGCACACATGTAGCAGGCAGTTAAAGGAACAGTATCCTACCCAGCCTTTCCACGGCTGCTTTTTTTGCTAACTTGAGAGCCATGTGGACTGGAGTTTAATTCTAGTAATGGTCTCTGGGATGAGACTGTGGCTCCCAGTGCCTCAGAAATTTTATAGTTCTGCCCAGGATTACTCCCACTCTTAAGGACTTGTGTGCTTGCTTGTTATTTTCAGGGGCCAAAGGTAATACTAAAGGCAAATTCTAACCCAGAATTAAATACTAAATCTATTAATTCATTCCCAGCCCTTCCTTCCCAGTGTAACAAGGAATTTAGGCTAGAGCCTGGTGGTGTGGCTAGTAGTATGGTCAGTTATTCAGCTTTGTTATACACAAAGCTGATTTTGGGCCCCTCCCATTAGTGTATCCTCTGCCCTTGGAAGGAATGTCTTAGTCAAAGAGAAGAGAATCTGGGGTAGTGATTTGCTCTGTACCCCTTTTTAATATGGATCCTCACTGAGCTAGACTGATGAGCATACAGGTGTATTCCAGTATACAAACTGGAATTCCATTCTGTCATTCCAGAATGACAAATTTCATTGTGTCAACGTTGAATTTAACTAGTGCCACTCAGGCTGTTATATGATGAATGCTAACACGTGTTTTTCTATACTTCCAAAATCTGATCTATTTAGGAATGCACTTGACCCTTTCTCTGCCCTTTTAAAAGGTCCACTGCTACCGAATAAGATGAGGGAGAATTGAAAATGGATTCTAGCTACTTGAATACAAAATCTTGCCTGACTCCGGAATTTAGAAAAGTTAGATTTTTGGTCTTCCCCCGCCTCCCCCCAACCTAACTGCTTTTTCTTTTGAACCACTTTGTAAGAAACTAATTTATTCACTTTCTAAAGTGGCCTTATGTTTGTCTAGCAGGGAAATCAGCAAAAGGGTTCTCAAAGAAGCTAGCAATGAAATTGAAAAGTGTCTACTGTCACCGCTGGTGATAAATCAAACTGATGTTAGAGATGCAAATAGTCATTCCAGTACTCTCCTCGTTACTAGAATTGTTTAAGTTAATTAAGCCAGCAAAGTACTTCATTATCTACTATGCTGCATGCTAATGGTACATTTAAAGTTTCACTGTCTTATGATTCAGATTTTTTTTTCACATTTAAGTCTCCATATCCATTGTGTTCTAAGTCCATATACTTAATGGTAACTAATACTGTTTTTCAGGAAAATGGATTTATTGTGCCACAGTTAAGTTTCTACTTTGTGAGGTCTGCAAGTCTAAGAAATCTTAGGAAATGTTTGAAACTACCACATTCAGGGTACCTTTTGTCCATCTTCTTGAGAAAGTGATTAAAACGCTGTATAATTCATTTTTATTGGACTGTCAGTAGTTTAATTACATTCAACTTAGCATTGTAGAATTTTTAAACGTATTCTATTAACTAAAATAAAAGCTGTTATAAATTACTGATATGATTGGTTTCTTTCATTTGCAGCATTTAAATATTAGGACACTGACGGATGATATGGTAAGGTTATACTCAACACTTCTTTTGTTGTGAATCTTAACTAACCATGTAATGTTGATGGCGTGCTGGGCTAACACCTTTGAAACTGCTAAAAATCTGCATGTTTTGGAAACCAACTGTTTTTTTATAGTGCTAAAATAAGAGGCAGAATTGGTAAAATGCATGACAGTTTTTGCTTTTAAATAGTAAAAGGAACTAGTAACTCGTTGATGGGCTAATTTAAAAAAATTGTTTAATTACAAATTGTTAGTCAACTTTGAATCATTCAAATCCATCTCATTCTTTGGGGATGAATTGCACACTTAAAAAAGAGGTAAAAAAAAAAAAACAAAAAACAAACACCTAAAGACATTCAGCTTTTCTGAAATATGTAGTTGCTACAAAGTAAACCAGACTAAAATGTCATGCGTGTGTTAAAAAAAATGCTCAAAAATGGGGGAACCAGGCATGCTTTCCTATTTGTTCTGCATGTTGAAAACAATAGGCTTGCTTATAAGAAATTAACACTCTATAGCACCATTACAGATTGTTGTATATTCGAGTACATATTTCTGAGAAATAGATTTTTGAATGTAACTCTTGGCTAACGGTAAGGGAATAACAACAGTAGTAAGGCTGAAATAAACAATAATGTGAAAAAAAATATGTAAGCATGATAGGACAAAGCACAGTGCTGTATTGATCTGGTTCTGAATTCAAATTCACCTTACATGTAATATGAAACAATGCGTAGAACATGGTAAACACTTAAAAAATGTCTAGCGCACCCATTATCCAACGTACCATCTTGGGTACTTGGGTAAAGTGGACAGGCGAAGAGAAATGAGATCTAGATCGTGACATGCAGGATGGAAAAATTCAATTAGAATGTTCTGTTTTATTCCTCTGGATAATATCTAAAACAAGGGTTGTTCATGTAAGCTTTCCTGGATAAGATTTTTCAGATAATGGTATTTAGAAAATTGTAGTGATACGGAACACTTACACAGAGAACATGTTATTTCTTATCATGCAAGGTAGAGTTGACTTCCTCTTAGCACTCAGTTGCACTGAGGGTCAACTACGTTAAGTACATGGTTTGCCCAAGTATGTACAGCTGGAAGGTTGGGTGTCTGTGGCTTGAATCTTGTTCCACAAAGCTCCAAACCCAAACATGTACTATGCTAACTCAGCCTTCAAATGCCTTCTTATGACTGATGATTAAACCATCTGTAATTTTTATGTTTGAACATCTATAAGAATATACAATGGTAGATTTAGAATAGCCTTATTAAAATATAGTTCATATAGCCTACAATTTACCCATCTAAAATGTACAACTGAATGGTTTTTAGTATGTTCAGAGTTGTACAGCCATTGCCACAATCAATTTTAGAACATTTCCATCACCGAAAGGGAAACCTCCTACTTAAAAGCAGTCACTCACCATTTACCCCCAACTCCACCAGACTTAGGGAATGGCTAGTCTACTTGCTCCATAGATGTCCACTTCTGGATATTTCCTATGAATGGAGTCCTGTGATAAATGGTCTTTTGTGACTGAATTTTTTCATTTCGCATAATGGCTTCAAGGTCTGTGTTGTAGCCTGTATCACTACTTGGTTCCTTTCTATTGCTGAATGCTATTCTGGGACCTTTGAGATTTATTCATATTTTATGGGCACTACACATCTTTTTCTTCCTTCTTTCTTTTTTTTCTTTCTTTTTTTATTTAAAAAAATTTTTTAATGTTTATTTATTATTGAGAGAGAGAGAGAGACAGCATGAGCATGAGCAGGGGAGGGGCAGAGAGGGGAGGAGACACAGATTCCGAAGCAGGCTCCAGGCTCTGAGCTGTCAGCACAGAGCCTGACACGGGGCTTGAACTCACAAACTGTGAGATCAGGACCTGAGCCAAAGTTGGTAGCTCAACCAACTGAGCCACCCGGGCACCCCTTTTCCTCTTCATTGAGCTACTGATCTTTGCTTCGTTATGATTGACGTTGTACATTGTCACCCACAGTCTCTACCCTAAGTTCTAGAAACAGAGTCCTGCTACAGATTGGCTTCACCAAGTCATTCTAGAAGCTATCTTGCTCTGATCTTACATTAACAAAAGGATTCCTTCCAGTGAAGACTTCAGTCTTCTCTCTCTATCCTGCCTCCATTCCTCCTCTCCCCTATTCCTTGTAATTGGGTGGGGTAAGGTCAGAACTTTTTGGGAGTTACCATACTGCCTTGTGTGGTATTTTTATCAAAGCAGTATATCATTGTAGGACTTTCTCACCAGTTTAAACATCTTCAAGGAAGAGACAGCATGTTGGTATGTTGTCTGGTATTATGTTAAGCATTTTTATAAATTTTTTGTTGAAGGAATGAAAAGAGTGAATCATCACTTTTGATTACTTGCCTTTGGATCTGGGGATGGCTTGGTCCTGGTCAGGCTTCCCAGAGATGGACCCTTGCCTTTGCACAGAGTAAAAGAGTTTTATATTAAAAAAAAAAGGGGGGGGGGGGCTTTGACAAGGACCTGCTGTTAGTCTTTGTGACCACCTGCCTGGATCACTGACCATTGCCTTGCCTCTGCCTTTACCTTAGAGGGATGTATGACTGTTTGTTCTAGATTCCTCCTTGACCTTTTCCCTTTTGCTTAACTGAACTACAGTCTCCCCAGCTCTCCCTGATCGCTTCTGATCTTGTGCTTTAGCCTGGCTCTTGAGTAGGCTAGGGCTTAAGACCAGGGAGGGATCAAGTAGGCAATCTAGTTCAGGCAGCTGGGTCCATTGCTGTGGAGCTTAGAGAAAAAGCCTGGCTATTTTGAACAAGACACACTGAAAAGTAAACCTAACTCATTGATTGACGCACCATGGAAAGAGCATTGGATTAGGAATCGGAAGACTCTTGTTGAAAGACAGAACCTCACCTCTTCTTAGCTCTTTGACCTTGGCAAATCAATTATCTGATTGTTCACTTACTTGTAAAGTAGGACTAATTATACCTTTTCTACTTTCCTCATAGAGTTTTGGTGAGTTTCACTAAAGTGTGTTGAACTGCTGCATTCATTTCTGTTCCTTGTTAACCCCTCTTAAAAATATGTCCCAGTGCACAGACAGCGGGGGTGACGTGACAGGTTTGCAGTTGAGCCTTACAGGCCATGTCACAGACTGATGCAGAGCTTTGAGGGAGGAAAGCATAGCTGTATATTTCGGGGGCTCTATAAATGATTTTTGGTGAGTTAGAGCTCAGAGAAGCATTGGCCACTGATGATTTGATGTGTGTTAGCAATATGTTTTTTAATTAAAGGTTGCTACCCCGACAACAATGTGTATGGTATGTGTGTTTTCAGTTCAGAGCTTCTTAATGTGAGAATAGCTTTTTTTTTTTTTTTTGGTAGAACTTGAGAGAAGGCGCCATAACAATGGCGTCTGCTGCAGTCACAGATCTGAATAACAGTATTTTAGAAACATGAAGTTGCAACATTCTGGGAAGCATTAGTGTTAAACACCCATCCCTTTAAATTGCTTGTTAAAGGCCTATGGAAGTACTTCACGTTTCAAGGTTATTTTCTGAGTTACAATCAGAATTTCATAGGACGCTGTCTGGTTGAAGGAAGTATTGCTCTAGTGTTGAGACAGAGTTCATATACTTTAAACAGTGTTCATTCTACAAATACCTGAGCATTCATGCCATGTAAAGTGCGATCCGAGGTGAAAAAGTCACTTAGTTTGCAACGATCCTTTGTCTGTACCTGGGTTGAAAAGAACGCTTTTTTTTGTAGAGGCAAAAAGGTTGAGACAAGAGCAGCGAAGGGAGGCTGGTTGGAATAGGTCAACTGGAAGAAATTGAATATGGTTGACACAATACTGAATTCTCCATGACCGTGTCCACGGAGTGTTTTTGTGGTTTAGAAGTTGTTTTTGACTTGGTTATTGTCTCCCTTGTCCCTCAGAACCTTTTGTCTCAAGTGCGATGCTCCTACTGATCCTCTCTGTCTACTCTTTTCTCCCCCTGGTAGCCAGTATTACTGTTGTAATCTCTGGTTTAGCCTACAGCAAGGATTTTCAGACTTTCTTGACTATAGACCCAGCATATATACTAAGAAGTATGTTTCATTTTGTAGCCCAGTTCACATACACATACAAATTCTCTCTCCATCGAAACCGTTTTATGAACTAATATTTAATGTTTCTAAGCTCAACGAACTCTGATATTTTCCTTTCCACTCCTTTCTATTGCTTTTTACTCCTCTCCTTTCATTAAAAAAAAAAAAACAAACAAACCCCAAAAAACCCCCCAAACAAACAAAAATCACCAAAACAAAACAACAACAAAAAAAGAGGGTGGGAAGGGGGGCGGATCCAGTCCACTACATTGGTTCCTTGTCCCACATGTGGTTCATGACTATAGCTTAAAAAGAGACCTTGGCCTGTACAGCAACTAGAAAGAGTCCTCAGATCATAAAATGAAGAGCAGACACTCACAGAGAGATCTGAGGACTCTTTCTAGTTGCTGCCACTTGCTAGCAGTGTGACTTTGCGTATTTAACTGTTGGGCCTTGGTGTCCCTGGTTATAGAGCTTTACAAGGGAAAAATAATGCCAAAATGCTTGGTGAACTATGCATTCACAGCATTAGTGGTATAGTTAGTAACATGATTTTTTTTTTTTTTTTTTTTTTTTTTTTTTGAGGAAAGATTTACATTTAACATAATATACCAATTTTATGGATGCAATTTGATGAATTTTGACAAACGTATACAATCATGTATACACTATGATCATGATATAAAAGCTTTCCATCACCCCAAAAGATTTTGTGCCGTTTGTAGTCAATTTCTTCCACCTATCCTGGCTCTTGGGAGACATGAGTCAGCTTTTTGTACCATATAACTCCGTTTCTAGGATTTCATATAAGTGGAATCACTTAGTATAGTGCCTTTGTGTCTGGCTTCTTAGCATTGTGCTTTTGAGACCCCCTCTAGTGTATCAGAATTCGTTGTTTTTATTACTGAATAGTATGCCA